ATCTTTCAATATATTATTTTTATTTTGTTATTGAAATTTATTTCTTATTTCACTACGTCACAATATCTTCGTTATTCTCGTGTTTTTCCTTCTTCATGCCCGTCGTTTATTTTTCTCTTTTGATATGTAAAAATTAATTAAAGAGTATTGTTTCTTTTTTATTCATAATAATTGAGAGAATAATATTTCTGTCTTGACGCCTAATGAAAATAACTTTCCGAAACCTCTCCTTGCCCGTGTATGATGGCGGCGCGGCGCAGGCGCGGGCTTCGCCGTGGCCAAGGCCAGCAACGCGTCCGGGATGTCCGCCATGATCGGCCGCGCCCTGCGCGCGCTGGAGGTGCTACACCCCTGGCTCGTGCTCTTCCTCGTCTGCTTCGTCGCCACCAACATCACCGAGTTCACCGCCAACGTCGCCATCGCTAACATCATTTTGCCTGTGATTGCGGATATGGTGCGTATGCTTTCGCGCTCTTACAACACACCGTGCCGCGGGTAAGCACGGCGAAGTCTCCCTTCCACGCAGTTGAGTGACTGTGATTCTGGACACGCCGACGGCTAAGCTCATTGGTCCCGTAAGTGTAGGGTATGTTTTTCTCTGGCAGTGATTGTTATTTTCCCCCGCGGGATGACGAGATCCGTCGCCGACCTACCGTCGACTAGCGAGGTTATCCCCAAACAGGTATCTCCCCCCAGCAGGGCACCGCCCCAGCCGAGACAAGCTCTTAGCTCCCGATCGGTATTCCGGCATGTGAGGTAGTGTAAGTAAGAGTAAGCATGCATAAGGAACGAGGATAGAACAAGGAAGATCGCGCGCGTCCGTTTGTTAGGATCCTGTCACCGTTGGGACTCGAACCTAGGACTTCACGGTCAGAGGTACTACAGTGACGTCAGTTGATACCTTTACCCATGTCTCCCGATTCTATGCAGTTGATCATCTCGCCACAAGACAGCAGTAAGTAGTTACAGTCGCCCTGAACGCTTTTCTTGTGAATTACGATTAGATGGGATTTAGATAAATAAATTTAAGAATGTTTGTTGCCATTTGTATTTCTATTTTTACTTTCATTTTTCGGTAGATATTGTCATTTCTACATGCGATGCCACCAAGCTGAAAAAGGCGGGGTTCCTACTGATAGCTCCTTTTCCCGAAGATAGTTGTGCTGAGAATCTCGTGGCATGCCACGTTGCCACGAAGAGTGCCACTGCCATCAGAAGGAGATCTTGACACCACTGTTGTACACTTTTCAATCCTACTAAGATCATAAGAATTCATTGTTTCGCGTTACTGGGTGGCTCCAGATTAAATCCCAAAGTGTACTGGTTTTTAAAACATTCCAGACACTGCATTACTCGCGCAACTTTTCTTGAATGATTGATTGAAGAAATGCGGGTAGAGTGGGGGTATTGGTTATGAAATTAGCCACTATATTTTATGAAGTAATGCCAATATCTGGAGAATGCCTACGCAACTTTCTCAATAATTTGCGTTCTAACTTTCTCAGGAATTCGAGGTATATCCTGTGATGGATCTTCATCTGCTTGGGTCATTTCTTTAGATTTTTTGGAGAAAATTATGAACAGAAGACTTCGTCTTCAACAGAAAATATTTTATATTTCGCTCCAGTGAAGATGTGTTTTGAATTTCGTATCAGTGCTCGCTGTGAGCTTTTGCCTTCAACTGTTTATTATATCTGCGAGGGGGAAGCAAAGTCATCATTCAAGAAAAGTTGCGCAATTAGAACTTAAATATGGAGATAGAATCAGAGAAAGGTAGAATTCATTCGAATACTCGCTTCTTACCCAGCATTGGCCGGGCATTTACCGATCAAAATTATCTGTTATACGGCAAAAATAGCGTTTATATAGTTTAAATGTTGTGTATTTTTAAATTCAAAAGTTAGTAAGTGTATGTAAATGCAATTAGTAAGTGTAGTAATAGTTAGACAAGCATGACCACTTGCAAAAAATCCAGAGGGTATAATTACAAGTATGCATTACGATTTTAATTTAAGTGGTGTAGAAAGACCATTTTTTTAGAAAATTTTGAAAATGTATTTAGAGCATCGTGTTAAATACCTCCAAAATTACAATATCCATTTCAAATTCAAGGAGCCACGACATCAGTCAGATCGATTAATACGGAAAATAAAATTTGTGAAAATTCTGTGAACTGTTTTGGCGCTAGCGATGTTTACAATGACAGACGTTTTGCCGTAAACCGATTGTATTCAGGACAATGTGTGTTTCGAAAGTGACCTAACATCTCGCGCTGTATTTTCTTGTTAGTTGTAATTAACCAAAAATGTCTTGTTTTTCAGTCCACCGTCGTTAAAATCAACCCCACGTACCTGATGATTCCTGCGACGGTCTGCTGTTCGTTCGCCTTTATGTTGCCCGTGGGCACCCCCGCGAACGCCATCATCGCCGGCTACGCCAACATTCGCACCACCGACATGGTGCGCGTGAAAGAAACGTCATCCCTTGTATTTTTCTTTTCCAATTCTGTATTCGTGTCCTGGCAATTAGTAAGAAACATAATTTTCTTTATATTTTAGATGATCACCGGCATTCTACCAACTCTAATAACTTTAACTATCATCGTTGCTGCTTTTCCAACGTACGGTGCCTTCATATATCCAGATCTGACTGAATTTCCTGATTGGGCAAAGGGAAATGACACAAACTAGAATATCGTGAAATCCATGTTAATGAAACATCAAAGGAACCACAGAATAAATGAATAAAGTAAGTAATTTCTGTGCTATATCATCTGAAAACAATAGATATACATAAGGACATTTTTTCTTCACGAATTTCAAAAACATTTCCAAATCATAATTCAAAATATTCATTTGTGTTTACAACAATAATTTGAACAAGTGTGAAGTGATTGCAGGTTTATTACTTATATTATCTCAAAGAACGTGAAGTACATACGAAACGAAATAATTTAGTAATATTAAATTTTTTGTCATCGTTTAGAGGCGAGGAGATATTTAAATAAATTTGACTACAGTAAATCCTCGTTTGCACGAACAGGTAAACGAAAAATCGAAGTAATACGATAAAAATAAGCGCCCCGAAAGGAAATGTAGTAATACATAACACGCATTTTTATAGCACGAACATTGAGCATTGCGGTTCTTCGGAATTCGTGTTAAGAATGGCTTACTGAATGTTGTTCTGTAAATTTATTCCTAAAATCGAAAGATGAAGACATATTTCTCCGAAACTATTTTGAAATTGAAGGGCTAAGCACAACCGTAGACTAACGCCACTTGTCCAAGGAAGGTCTTCGTGCATTTGTGTGTTGACCAGTTGTCTTCCGTGAAGTAAAGAATGAATTCACTGTTTTCCGTGTTGCCCAATTTATAGCCAATGCCCCTCTCCCAAATATTAATGCCGCAACAAGAATGATGGCTGACGCCAATTATGATAGTGTTGCTGTTAGAGAATATGGATATTATGCAGAAAAGAAGGGCCAACTTGAAAGAATGAGAATTTTTAGTTCATGATCTAGGAACTCGTTGTATAGTTAAAATTCACGGTTGGTGAGTTCTTACTAACGGAAAATTGAAAAAAGAAAACGAAAGATTGAAAAAATGGCGGTCAACACTAGTGCGTAAACCATTCAAACGATTGTCTCGAAAATTGATATTACCCGATAGATCTAGGTTAACTGGAAGCCTTGCTAGTGTAAAATTGATAGATTGCTTTTTGGAGGTGATTCACATGAAGTTTCATTAACATTTTCAAACTGCTCACTAAAAGGGCTTCAGAGATTTTTATTAAAGGTTGTTTCTATAATGCGTTAAGTTTGCTTAAAAGAATGGCGTATATCTGGTTCTTAATAATGTCGCTGATTTTTCGAAAATTGCAAAAGTTTTTGCATTTTTTGACGTCTTTGTAAACTGCAATATTAAAGATAGTTTTTCCTCAATAGAATCTTGAAACCGGTCCGGAAATACGTTCATGTACAAGTTTTCAAACATGTGAGTAGTTTTCGTGGAATTTTGCGTGAAATATAGGCAATTACTTTCTTAAAAAACAATTACTTTCTTAAAAAAGGCTCTATTTTTTCTTTATCGTTCCCTTCTAAGTAGCAAAGGCCCATAAAAAATTGCGCTGATCCCATTTTCGGTGAATTCAAAGTATTTTTGTGAATTGCAAACAAAATTGACATTTCAAAAGTTTAATACTGATGATACAGCTTTTTTGAAGTAAATTTTTTGCTCGGCTTTTGAATGTAATTTATAAACTACAGAGAGCATTTGGCTTTTATTATGTAGGACTGAAATTATTTCGCTCAAATACCTGTAAAAATACTCATACCCTTTCTACATACCTTTTCTACACATTGTATAAAATATAATTATAAGCATCAGCAGTCTCACCTACCATTTATAAATTCGTAAATTGATGCTGATGCAAAATTTAATTAAACAATCTATTAGACTGGGGATATATTTCATTTTACCCAAATATTAGAATATACTCAATTCGAATAAAAAAATCCTGTCAAAAATCTGAATACTTGACGCAGGGTGAAAGTAATTTACTGTATGTGTGAACAAGATATATGCACTGCGCCCGGCAAAGAGTATTGTGTCAAAAAGTAACCGTTTTACGGCGCGCTATTACAATACTTTCTCGCCATACGAACACGAAGGCGAGAAATTTGAAAGTGGCAGTGACTTAGACCATTGCAGGATTGACCCCTTCAATCTCAAAATAATGTGTTAACAGAAAGGGATACAAGTAATTTTCTAAAACTTTGAAACTTTTTAACTAGGATGAGTTAATAGTGTAAGAGAGAGAGAGAGAGAGAGAGAGAGAGAGAGAGAGAGAGAGAGACAGACAGACAGACAGACTGGCAGAGAAAATGAGAGAGACAATATGAAATCTTACAAAAGTTTACAAGCACAATTGAGTTTTTGGTTGATACTTTCAGATGTTGGACTTCACGAATATCACAAGTGCAGCTGCCTGCAATAAAATTGAGTGCGTGAGTACGTGATGCAGAAGTTACGAAAAGTTACCTATCAAATTTTGTACAAGTGTCTTGCTACACATTTCAATGTCAACTTCTTAAATATCGATGTATTCTGGTGAAAAGTAATTGGAAATGTATTCATACAAAGGAGACGCAGGCAGCGGACCGAAGTATTTTTGGGGGAGCCAAAAATCTTTACATTACTTAACACTTCATGCGGATGTTTTTCAAAGCGTGTGTGGATTTTAAACTTTTAAAAAAGTTTTCCTTTGTAAAAATTGCAAATTTCTACTTTTTCAATTGTAAAATAAAAAAATTTTAATGTTATTGTACAAAATGAAAATTTTGATTCTCGAGCTGGTCTTTATTTCTATTATTATTATTATTATTATTATTATTATTATTATTATTATTATTATTATTATTACACTTAAATTAATTCATAAATTGAACAATAAATAATTTTAACACATGAATTTATTTAGGATCCCAGAAATCTTCTGACTAAAAAACACGTGCTCAGGATCACAGCTATTGATTGCTGATAATGTTGGTTTCGATCCCCACTTTATTCAGAGTGCTTCAGGACGGTAGGTATTACACCTGTTACCGAGAGGATGATCGGCACAATCTCCACGACCAATACATTATTATTACTATTATTATTGATATTAGTATTAACATTCCCTAAATTCGCCTCTAAAATGTTAGGTGTCAGTTAAATATTAAATCTAATCAATAATGCAACTAACTTTCTAAGGAGAAGATCTGGTAATTGTGGTAAATTCTTCGCGTAAATAATGAGCTGTTTCCAACAAGAGATACAGAGGGAGGACTTCGGAACTTTTTGACGGGGGGGGGGGCAAAGGTCTCCTAACCCGAATGGCATACGAATAGTTATAATATAATTCTTAGGTAAACATATTTTTTAACTATTTCGTACCCCCGTACCAACACCCACAACCCTCTACAGCCAGAAATTGGTTTTTATATTATTTTTTCGTCAACTTAACAACTAATTTATCTGGTTGAAAAACTATGAAAAATAATATTAAAAAATGTTTTTGGTAGTATAAATTATATTTTCTCAGCGCCAAATTCGAACGCCAAGTGTATTGTTGTTGGTTGTTTTTTTTGGAAAAAAATAACAAAAAATAATTTTTACTGCCTCCTACCCTGGAACAGGGTTGAAAAAATCTCAAATTTTCTTCTTAAAAAACACAAAAAGCGAATTTATCAGATTTTTCGATTTCTGAACTGTAGTTTAATTTTTTTTTTACGATTTTAAATCATACACTTGGAAAATGGCTGCAACAGTTCTGTGCATTTATTTGAGTGTTAAACTTTTGTAATGAAAATTGATGTCCAAATAAATGAAACTTCTCTGACAATGGTTGCGACATAACGATTAAGACATAGATTCATTTTTATTAAAACAGAAAAGTGAAATTTGGGGAAGGTCTTGTACCTCGTACCCCTTTTGACATTCGTTTTTTTAAATTTTGCTGTTTCCGAAAAAAAATTACAGGAATAATTTTTTGTATACTTTAAAGATTTAGACACCACATATATTTTTCAAGCATGTAGTCTTTTCAAATTATTGATTTATTTGCCAACTTTAAAAAAAGGTAATTAGGTCCGAGGTACAACACAGGGTTTGTACCTTGGACCCATGTATGTTGTACCTTGGACCGTTCATAATATGTTGGGAAAATGACAACTTATTAGAAAGAAAAAAGTTATTCCTTAACTTTTAAATAAGCATTAATGCCATAAGACGAATTATTTTCAGGTGAACATTACACTGGATAATTCAATTTCAAATGTAAACATTTAGAGCTGACGAACTAATCCTCCTATTGGAATTGGATCTGGAACCTTCATTAAGTCGTCATTTTTGTCGATTGCATGTATGACAGTATCTTCTATCGTATGTTTTTGAAGTTTTTGATCCTTTTTCATGTATTGCATACTTTTAATCTGATAAATGCTCTATGTGATCAAAAGCATCCGGACACATGGCCGAAAATGACTTACCAGTTCGTGGCGCCCTCCATCGGTAATACTGGAATTCAATACGGCGTTGGCTCACTCTTACCCTTGATGACAACTTCCACTCTCGCAGGCATTCTTTCAGTCAGGTGCTACGAAGGTTTTTTGGGGAACGGAAACATTCTTCACGGAGTGCTGCACAGAGGAGAAGTATCGATATAGGTCGGTGAGACCTGGCATGAAGTCGGCGTTTGCAAACATACCAAAGGCGTTCAATAGAATTCAACTCAGGATTCTGTGCAGGTCAGTCCATTTAAAAGGATGTTATTGTCGTGTAACCACTCCGCCACAGACTGTGCAGTATAAACAGGTGCTCGGTTGTGCTGCAATCACCATCCCCAAATTGCTCTTCAACAGTGGGAAACAAAAAGATGTTTAAAACATCAACGTATGCCTGTGCCATGATAGTGTCACACAAAATAACAAGTGGTGCGAGCTCCGTCCATGAGAAAGACCATACCATAACATTTAGGACGTGTCCAGATACTTTTGATTACATGCTGTATAATTACAAATAATATATTGATAATAAATAATCACATAATTTGTAATATGTTTTCAACACCACAGGTACTGCTTTTTCAATTGCCTCCTTGATTACCTCCTTTTATCTTGACACAGATTGCACTTCGTGGCATTTTTTTCTGAAAATAATATTTTGGTATTTCACATTTAGTAGTAAAGCTAAACATAAATAAAT